ATAAATGTTCGATTTGGGGGATTTTCGTCTCTGAAATAAGTTTGCAGTTGTCTACTATTTTCTTGGCCAATTCTGGAATATCCGTGCTCTCGTTAAGGTTTTTCACTCGAATACTTCAAATATGCGAGTATTGCAGTTCACTTACACTTTTTGACATTGCTTTCGATCGCCAACCATAGGGTTTCCCATTACACCTAATATAGTAGCCTCTGTCTCATAATGTACCACCAGCGCTTTTTCCGTACGATGTACATCAATCGACCCACCCCTGATTTTTCTACACGAATAATGATGACCATTCACTCAATAGGTACCTTTTTAAAAATTTAGCGTCTTCATTCATTGTATTGTGCACCAGCACTCAGCCGAGAGACGCTTGACTACGACGGATTCAAACAAACTTTCAAGGCTAGTGCGCATCAGTTTGAACAAGCTAGGTCAGGTTGCACTGGGCTGAATGTAGCCACGGCCAATCAAGCGTCCAGAATTCCTTCGATGTTCTGCTCACTGTGTGGGCACCTAGCTCTGCTGAAATAAAGATGAGAAACAGGATCTCATCTCACCAAGTTGGCGAGTTCAGTTCAGTTCATTTCTCACAGGAAAATTTATGGCTCTTGCCAATCGAGCTTTCAGATTCGTGTGTTATCGGCGACTTTCCTTTGCTTCCAAAACTTAAATATGCAAGGTTTCTGAAAGGTAGAATAGTGTGGTGCGAATGACAGCACAGAACAGTTCACAGGACTTGCGGCTTAAGCCGGTATGGTGGTCCAGGTTCTTCATTCTATGGTCTACGTTTGTCTCGTAACGCTTTGACAGTGATTTGATCGATTCTTGATGCTGTAAAGGTACAGCTGCGGAGCAAGGGCGCCAATCCGATTTGCTGTCAATTAGAGCAGCACCAGTTGATCAATCACAGGCTAACCAGGAGGGCCAAGTACCCCTCCGCAGGCATGCGAAGACAGGTTAAGATGACGAAAGAATATTAAGCTATTACGGAGAGGAGGTTGTGGGGAGCAGGGGTTAGACAAATGAGATAAAGATAGTTGAAGTATGTGGGTTATTATTAAAGAAGATCGGAGGAAGGCGGCGTATAAGAAAGCAAGAGATATAGCCACCAACTAGGACTGATGTTTCTTTCCTTAGGCTGATTCGAGGAAGGTTACGTCCCACGCCTCATCAAGTCTTTTTTGGAAACGTTCCAGCCTGGAAGAAGAGCTTCAGTGACTCGATGGTTGCTGATATTCGTCAGAACCTGTCACTAATGTTTACTCACGTCCGTTTTGAATATTCGTCCCAAATGGAAACAGAACCAGAGATTGCGTTTATTGAAAACAATATATTCTGAGATCTTCAGAAAGGTTGGAAGTAGATTTAGCTAGGCCTAGGCTGATATTTAAGCAACGGCAGCGGAAACCTGAAAGTAGATCTGATCAATGCAACGAAAGCGTGCGATACAGAGCTCACCGTGAGGAATTGTGTCGGTGCACGCTTTTCGAGTTCATTAAAAGAACGCTAATAGTTAAGGCAAAACTTAATCCTGGAAATGTCCAAGTTGCTTTATCCAATAGAGAAACTTTCCTCAGAGGATAGCTATCGCCAACTAATGGCGATAAATGCTAAATCTCGACGATACACTTGATTGTGTCCGGTGGATAAGGGTCCTTAAAAGAAGAAGGGAAAAGCCCGACGGTAGTTTAACTACCTCATCGATAAGCTAAGTCGCTACTTGATTTCTGAACCTTGATGGTTCTGATAGGTATTCCATGGTTATGTACTATGCCTTGATAGTCCTCAATTATACAGGACTGGTTAGAAACTGAACGTATCCTGCTGTTAGTCACCAGCGTAGGGTGAAAGTACTTCTGGTACGTGATTTGATGATCACGTCCAGCTTGAATGGATCTATCAAGAAACTTAGAGAAAGAAAGAGGTAAGAAAAGAAAACTGCCGTTGTGAAACTGTCAGTTGAAGAACCGCTACAAGTTCGCCTCATCAGTAAGTCTATTCTAGGCATTGACCACTCTATGAGTGAAGTAGTTTCTGTTCTCTCTCTAACGTACGAGGTTTGACTAGCTTCTGCTGGTGTCCTCTTAGGGCTTGGTTATCACTGAGAGAGAAATGTTGCCTGTTAAGCTGTGAGAGTGCCTTCAGTATCTTGAGAACCTCAATTGAGTCACCCCTCCTTCGTCTATGAGATAGAGAGTACAAGTTGTGCTCTCTCAGGCTCCTTGAGTGCGACATCAACCTCGGAGAAAGAAGAATCCTAGCGAAGCGTCTCTGGACGTGTTCTAGAGCCTACTGGGTCTTGTAGAGGAGCAGTAAAACCGTAGGGTTCCTCGATGCAACTGTTCTTCTTCGCAAGAACAGTGCCTAGGAAGTCTTTACTCGAGCTAGGTGGTACTGTCTTGTGGACTGGAAGGACCCTTGCATGATTGTCCCTGACCTCATCAGTGATTTCCTCCGGTGTGGGCCCCGTGCCCTTCCATTTGAGGAACTGTTCCGACAGACAGAATATCTAAAGTTTTTCAATCAGCAGTCAGTGGTTGAATGGGGTGAGTGCCTATTGGAAATCTAGGTAACAGACTTCCGCACTCTCTCCTCGGTCGAGGGTCTGGGTGATCTCCATGAAGTCCAGCAAGTTTGACATGCAGGACCTCTTCACAATACTCGAAATAAAGGCGCGCGCGCGCGTTCGAACTTGACGTGGAAATCAGATTCGGTTGGCTTGAACCTGTCGAAGGCTTAGAGTCTGAACCCACAATGAAAAATTTCGGCCCTGGCAGTGGATGCTGGGCATGGCTGTTTCGACGGTTTTGTCAGCATGCGTCCGCATCCCCGCAAACGTATGAACTCGCTGTACTCCTTCCTGTTTAATCATATTCATTTTCCCCGCCTATTGTCCAACATTCTTTTCTCTCC